TTTCGTCTATCAGAAGAAGGTTTTGTGGCTGTAATTATCCATTAGAGAGATAGAAGTGGTAGCTATGCAAAATTTCTCCTGTCTACTCCTCTGCAAACAACGTTTGCCATTGAGACTTTTATTGTGGGGTATACTGATGATCTCGAAAAGAACGTAAAACTCAGTGCTGTATGTGTACATAGTTATTTTCTTCTATTTTGTTTTAAGGAAAATCAGGTTTTTGAGTCTGCGTTTGCTGAAATAACTTCCTTGTAAGCTACAAGCAGTTCATTTCTTCAGACGTTGAAACTTATTAGATTGCCGATTACTAGTCAGGTGTTCGCCAAGCTGAGCATGATGATCCTGCTCATCTTCAGGGTTTTTTCTTATTTTTACACGACACGTCTCTGAGCCAACTATCCGAGTTCTAACACTTCCTGCATTCGATTCGTTTCCTCACATCCATCATCCACATAAGTCTTCGAACATTTCGCTTGTGGATTTGGCTGCTGCTCGAAGATTTTTTTTCTTCGTTATGAATTCCACTGAATGCCGATCGAGTCAATTTCCTTCAAGTCCATGACGGGCCGTGCTAAAGCATTTCCACGAGAACTGAAGAGAGTAGGATGAGCAGGCACAAGTCTGTAGCAAATTCGTAGAACCCGAAGAAATGAGAGACTTGGTGGCGGAGAGTTGTGACACCAGAATCGTGGTCGTGTTGGCCAACAGCGCTGTCACAGCTCTCGCTGCTTGCCCCATCTTTAGGGTTTAGCTTCTGAAATATGATTGTCTCAAGCTTCTGTGCCTGTCTTCTTGTTGTGTGATGCCAGCAATTAAAACAGCTACGGCTAGACAACCAGCGTTCTCCGTTTGCTCAATATTTCGCTGAATGATACAGCTAAATTTATTCGATCACCTATTTACGAAATTGGTACGGCATGAAAGTTTGCAGAATTGTTGGTGAATTTGATATGCGATTCACCACATCTCTAAGCAATAGCCGAATGAGTATAAAAACTGAGAACGCAACGAAATGGTGGCTATGCATTAACCTGCTTCATCTCCTAGTTGTCCACTATGCCTCGCTTTCGGGATCGCGAAATTAGAATTGGACCTTCCTGGGGTCACTTAACTTCTTCTAATCCACGGTGGAACTCCCTAACTATCCTATGTTTTTAAGTAAAAGAGATCTAGGCTTAAAATCATTAATGAAGGATGAAGGGTAAAATCTTGCAAGCTGATCAATCGCTGAAGGATGAGTTATCAGCTCGACTCTATTCGTGTTATCATAAGGGTGGTTAAATGCACGTATGCACTATGCGTTGACTTGCTATGGACCAACGGTGTCGTTAAGCCTGCGTTTTCATCCCCAGACAAGTCTACTATCAATTTGCCGATACCGGAAGCATAGAGAGCTTCGTTTGCTGTGGTGGCTGGATCGAACCTGGGCCACGTGCGCCTACGTTTTAGAAATCGGACAAAAATTCCTCTTCTACATCGCTTTTCTACACTTATTCTATTTGCTTAAATTAAATATAGATTGTTATGAACGAAAATAAACACCCAAAGCTTTGCCTTTGCAAAATGAGGATTTTATCTTTGATAACTGAGTGCAATAACATTGGATTCGACAACGATCTAGGGATTCCAAAAGAGAGATAAAGTCGAGAAATCAGCAGTGTACCATGTATCGATGAGAAGTCTTGGGTTAGCACTCCCTGTTCGCTCATAGGTGAACATTGCAGGCGATCCGATTCGACTGATCTGAAAATGATTCAAAACGTCACGGACAACTTTGTCAATATCCTCAACTGTGAGTTTATCAAGATTTTCTTCTATACAGTTTATGAGCAACTATTCTTTTATCTAACAGAATGTTCAATTGTTGCATTAAGTGCTTTTGTATAATTCTCATCTCCAACAATTTTGCCTTCTTTCTTAGATTACCTAGATGCTTTCGATCTTTTTCTCTTCCATTTAAGAGCTTACTATCAGCTCTCGGTTGACACCCCTTCACAACTTGATAAAGAAACTCCTATCATGCAACGATACCACTTTTCGTCAAGAAAACATTACACCTTACTGGGTAGACTAGCGCACATAAGTGGAAACATTTGTTGACTTTTCGTGCTACAAATGCGAGCTTTTAGATAACAATTTGTAAATTTCTGCTATGTATTTATTTAAAAACCATCATTAACAGTTTATCACACCTATAGTTTCGTTGGTTCTATAGCTTCGGCTTTAGCAACAACCTGTCACGTCCTTCACTTGGCGCTTGAGTATCGAGTGGGTGTCACCAAACCTTCCACTCGCGTCCGCATGCCCATTTTTCAAGTCGCTTTTGCTCAGTGGAAGAGTAGAGAAACAATTTATATCCTTAGTTAAATGTCCTCGTAAAAATGTTCTACGATTCGGTCAGTGGTTGCTTCTAAGTAAGAGAGTCGTTAATAGTTTACCGTTTAAGCGCTGTGCCTTAGAAGTATGAAGTGCCCAGTCCACTTTTCCAAAATCCTGACTTACAAGCAGTTTTTGCCATCAATGACAAGTTTTGGATTTTCGAAATCTCTCTGTAATTCACATCATGAAAATACTTAAAGCGTCATCCCATTGTTTCCACACGTAAGAACGTTTGTCACCTTTTTACGCTGCATACATAACGTCCTGACTCCTACAGCACGTGTTATACAAAAAAACACTGGTCGTTCGTATTCTATCCACTGCCTTTGCGCGATTCCTGTGAAGGTCCGTAAACTACATGCATGGATTGCGTTGTTCAGCATGTTCACTATCTGTCCCATGTACCCTGGTTTATTCTGGCGATTTATTTCCTTCAGTGTGAGTACCCCCCCGAGCGGGTCAATTGTTTACGGAAATAATTTTCTTTAAACTAAGCTGACATCCGATCATTCGGCATATGTTTTCCAAATAAGCCATAAATGGTCTTTTGACCATCACCTAATGTTATAAGAGCAATTAAATTAAGGGATACGGTGTGGTTATTAGTCAATGACTTCCGTTTTCTCATTGCTCCATCTCAGTTTTCGCTCAACGGTTGACCAGATATCAAGCGCACTTGGCATAAACTGAGTTCATACATCGGCTAGAAAAGATGCAGTTTATTCCAGAACGATTAAAACAATTTGAAGAAATTACTTGAATCCTATTAATTACTTAGTGATAGATAAGACAGAGAATGGCTTGCCTGGTTTAGAGATGCGGTGGTAGCTTCCTCAACCACACCATCCAGCCGAGTAAAATATGTGATTTCGCGTTCTTCGCTAAGCTCAGTGATGAAGTATTTTTATACACGCACGTATTTTTTAATTTCTTTACTAACCTCGCTTTTCCTATCTACTTCTTCTTTTTCACTATTGACTAGGACGCGATGCACAACAATTTTGTCATGGAGTACCCATAGTCTGCTGGCAGAAATGAACATTTTTCGCTGCTCCGAAATATGATTTTTGTTCTGTAGATAAGGTTGAATAAGAAAGCTGCAGAACTGGTTTTTCTCTTCTGGATTGCCTTCTCGACTGGCGGAAAGAAAGCAGGAAAGGCAGCAAGATGCTCGCTGAGGCATGAATAGCGGCGCCGGAGTAATTCGCCACTACGGCAGGTCGATAACAACCAACTTCAAAGTACTAGCAGTTTTCCTGCTATTAGATCTCTATTATTTTCCATACCTACGCTAATGCATTCCACCCGTTTATCATTCACATCACTCACACACCCCTCAGCTATGCTGTCGCTGCATAGTAACGGTTTGTTTCCAGTTCCATAGTCCAAAAAACGAGGATTTTCTATTTTTAACTTTTCGGCTCGATCAGTGATTTCCACTTTTAAAAAAAGGACATGCGGCTATGTGCAGAAAAAGATCAGACAATACTTATCCACTCTTAAATATTCACCGGTAGCTAGAATTGGCTTGCTTAAGGAATAAGAATGGCATTGAAAGAAATTACTTATTTTATGATTTAGGAATGACTCTTCTACTTTTAAAACGAGAAAATTCGGAAAAGGTAACCTTTGGACAGCTATAACATTGACTGATTTAGTGGACAAGGTAAGAGGTTGGAAGCTGGTCCAGAAGTCTCTTCCACGAATCATCGAATACGGGAGAAGTGAGGGAATCCTACAAACGACTTCGGCAAGTGCAAAACGTCACAAGTTTTTCTTCGAACCGCTAGCTTGTTTTTTGACCCAACTACTTCATATTCGCTGTTCTGCTTTCTAAGAAAAAAATACTTTCATTGTAAACTACGCACATATTCGTACTTTTGTTATTGTTTTATGACAGTAGTTTCACATCAGTCTGTTCTTGCGTTTTGCTTGTCGCAAAAGTTTCGACAGTAACTTTTCTAAACCCCATGTTGAGAAAATCCATTCTGCATTTTAGCTGTTTTGAGTGAATATTGGGTCATCTACTACTCTGCATCTTTTAGCGGATAAGGATATGATCTTGGCATTCTTCGGGCCGAATGGACAATACCTCAGTAGGGAATTCGATAGTCATCTTAGGATTCTTTTTATCTGCATCATATTTTATTACCGTATTTTGATGGAATACTTTAGTCAAACAGTGAAACGAATATGTGAGCATGATAGGTCTAATCTTTCATACCTTCAATCACATCTAAACGTTTATATATAAAATCTCGGCCAAACGAAGACTCTTCTGATTTGAAAATTGCGATTAAGCGTCTTGCGATAGCCGGGCCAGAACGTCTCCAATTTTATTGCAGAGAGTCACTTTTTCCGGACAAGACCGGTACCAATTTCCTAACCCTGGAGAGATAAGAGGGTTGATGGGTCCACAGCGGAATCGAACTGTCAACTTTCTCGTAGTGATCGACATCACCACCACTGTGCTTGTGCTATTTGCACCACTTTGCTTCCTATATGGTCAAGTATTTGGCTTAGAAAATCAGTTTGAGATATGGGAAACGTTTCACTAAGTAATTCGGAAGGCCGAGGTTGCGCTGTTAAATCCTCGGAGAAAGGATGTTTCATGTCGGCCAATGGAGAGTCAAAAATCGAGCCAGGTTCTGGAGAACGCATATATCGTTGTGTTTGGTAATGGTAAACAAGTGAAGCTGAATCTGATTAAAGGCGTAAACCTGAAATGCTGCTCGTTTCTAAGCCAATCGTGACAATTTCTTTGCTCTAACCAGACAACACGGGAAGAAAACTCATTGGCGAAACAATACCTCTTTCAGCCAACCAATGCTTTCAACATCACTGGAGTTGTGATAGCGGCACAAGAAGAAGCTCACACACAGAAGGAAACGAAAACTGGTGACAAGGTAGAGTCAGTCCGGCTTTTTGCACTTCGTTTTTTTTCATGAGTTCTCATTAAGGTGAACCTGCCGACGAATGACATCACGATGATGCACGAGGCGATACCATTTCTTCCTGTCCCGGTCGCTTTGCTATGTTTGTTCCTCAACGTGGTCATTCCTGGCACAGGTCAGATGAGTGGTTTCCCCAGAGCAAATGACAAACTTCGACAAGATTGGATTGAAAAAGTGCTACGAAAAGCGTTGAAAAAACTGCCTTTTATTACGAATAAATAAAAAATGTAATCATTTTTTATTTTCCGGAAAAAATTTTCACCTAAGAAATGGTCGACATGATTTTATGGGATTTTTCCCAACTTCCTAGGCGCTAGCACTTCTTTTCCTCCTTTTTATTATGCTCAGAAGCGACTTCTCCTTTCGTGTTCCTGATGTTACAGTTCTATCAAAAAGTGCCTACAAATGTTGTGTGATTTTAAACTATGTGGAAACTATCCAGAAACAAAGAACCGAAGGGACTATTTCACTTCATCCTTACATTTGGTTACTCATCGCTTTTAAATACTCCCATATTGTTTTCGGATAGAGGAATATTACTTTTTCACTATCTCTGTGAGGTCAAAAGCTCATGATCCTGCATACACGATATATTAACCGTGTATAGGTTCAAATTTTCACAAATTGTGATCAGCTCTTCTTCCAGGAACGATTCTCGCTGGGATATCGGCTCTCTGTATGGGCCAACCACGAGTCAACCTTAAGGAGGGACGAAAATTGGTCACTTTGGTACGCGACTCTTTCGCTTATATTTCTTGACCGCCAATTTTTTTCCTAAGTGCTTTTGATCTGAGCAACACACACACACACACACACACACACACACACACACACACACACACACACACACACACACACACACACACACACCCANGGTCACTTTGGTACGCGACTCTTTCGCTTATATTTCTTGACCGCCAATTTTTTTCCTAAGTGCTTTTGATCTGAGCAACACACACACACACACACACACACACACATACACACACACACACACACACAACCATCGTTCGCTCCACAGAACCCAAAAAACCGAGAACAGGCTCACAAAATGATAATTTTTTCGACGATAAGCGGTAGATTTTTCAGCTAAAGGAGTTATACTGTTCAAAACATTACAAAATTATAGAAGAGACTTGGCTTTATTCATCTAGAAGTTTAATTCTGCTACTATATCCTATTCTTCTTCACTAAAGTTCACCTGCCAAGCACATTGAAAGTATTGTATTATCAAACATATTCCCGTTTTTATTATTGTTTGTAAACAAACTGTTTCTTCAACCTTCAGACAACAACTCAGAAACAAGCAAAACAGCGTTTTCAAACAAGCAACAAGAACAAGCCATTGTCAAACGCATTAACAGTATTTGGAAGGCTTTTGCTACTTTTATCAAATGCTAGGGGTGCGTGTGGTGGCGCAGTAGTAAGGTGACGCAGACGTAAATTTCTAGTTTGTAGTAGTTTTCAGTTCAGTTCATAAAGTTCATTATGCGCTGAAATATGCTTCTTGCAAAGGTGCCTTATATACCTTATATATGAATCTGAAGTAATGATTAACCGATAGGTGGAAAATTTGGCAGCGTCAATGAATTTGTGGCATTTTATAGAATTTTTATCAAAGAAATCAGAATCATTGCTTTATTCATTTTATGGAATATTCTAGAAGATCAGAAAGATATACAAGGCTTTCTCTTAAGAGGTTATCGTCATTCGATAATCCCTTCATCACTTTTTGTTTTTTTTTCACTCCTTCTCATCCCATTCCTATCTTCATACCACCGGCTTGCCTACTTTTAACAATTTTTCTCGTTTATTGTTTTGGATTAATTTTGATAGTCAAAATTTCAATACTGTGGAATTGAGCTATCTCAGCTGACAATGCTTTAAATTTGGTGCTCGATCGACTGTTCATCGAGAGTAACATTGAAGTACTTGGGGATATCGAGGAATGGTCCACGGAACCGAGAAATTTTTATGATTTCTCATGACTAGTATGTGCGAGCTGGTCACGAGTAAAGCGAAGTATTGAGCAGTTGGCAAGACGACAAAACTAGAGCAGTATAACAATCTTGAAGTGGAAAGATAAGAAGGACATTATTACACCGTTCACAGGCTACTACGCCTGTCTTTCCTAAAGCGTGTCAAAATCGGTAGTGATTAATGGCTACAACTGCAGGAAGCTTTTCATGGATCCACGAAAAGCTTCTTGTGATGTAGGAAAGAAGTTTGAGCTAGGTAAGTTACTCAATAGGTGTGAAAGAACACAGTGTCACGCTATCATGTACATGTCGACATTACGAAAGCTAGAACTTTTGCATTGAAAATTTATTCTGTTTGTCTAAGTTTTCACTCCCTAGACTTTCGCCATTTTCATAGATTTATTTATTACCTGAGCACCATCAGGTCGTCGTTCGCGCAATCATCGCATGCAATTTTTCTTCTCTTGATATTGAGTACTATTTTTTTAACATTCCTTCAGAAAATTTTGCAACTCTTATTGGAATACGAACTCAGCTCTCTAAAACCCACAACACGAAGTAGCGCATTCGAAAATTCTGAGGGATGTTCACCTATGGGGCTTATCAATGTATGTTGGGCAGGCTCCTAGACAAGCCTGGTACCACTCTGATCAACCCAGAGTGATCCATGGCTAGGTTTTCCTGGAGTTCGGGATAGGATCATGTGCACTAGGGGCACCTCAAACTAATGCGTTACCCGCGCTCATCGTTGCTTTCATATTCTGCTAAGATTCTAATATTTTTCTTTTAGACTAAATCACCTGCTATGCTGACGGCGTTTTTAGGTGGTTAACCTACTTGTTGGAGTAAGCCAGTTCTTCACAATAACTTTTCTCTTCGTTGGTTGGTTCTGGTCGATCGCTTGGGGAGGATTGATCATTATTCACTCAAGTGTGTTCTTTTCATTTATTTTTTGTGTGATTTTCTTTGAGATTTCCATGAGAAGTTGAAGTTGGCTTGAGTTCACAGTCCCTCATTTTCTATAGGAATGCAAGCCTGACTTCTTGCCTTTCGTCTCCAATATCAGTATTTTTCCCGTCGAGATTTAATTTCTTTCCTTTAGAAGAAGTTTTGTCCAAAAACACTGTCAAACGTTTTTACCATATTCTCATCTTTATAGACATTTTTTATCCAGATCTACTTAACGTTCAATTTTTATCACGACTCATTCTCTTTGGCTTTCGCCCAATTCTTTGTGAGCGATTATTCATCTTCGCCGTTTCGTATAACTGCTTTTACAAATGCCACCCTGATCTACCTTCTCCTTCTTCCTCACTGATTCTGACAAATGTAATCACTAACAATTTACAAGGTAGAGCTACGTTTGCTGAGCAACACACTTTGTGTGTAAACTGAGCCTTTAATTTAAAGCATCTCTCCATTAGGGGCACTTTGAGACCTACTTTCTAGTCTTCAATACGACACATTTACATTCGTAGTCTTCTCCTTGATGCCTGTAGTCCCTGCCCTTGTGCATTCGAGTCTGGCAATGCATGATTGGGATTTTTAGTGCAGTATCGCGACGCGCTGCAACAACGACGGCAGGAAGCCGTAGCTACTGCAGCGATCGAAGCGCTTACCAAGGATTCAATCCTTCACCGCCGGGATGTGAAAACACTCGTCAAAACACACAAACAGCAAGCTAAAGACAAAAAAGCAGCTGGTAATTGAGATAAGTATTTTTAGGGGTGCCTAGCTGCTACGGTGACTCAGTTCACTTTTTTGCACGGTGGTGAACAATCAATATATTTGAGGAAAGGAACAATTCAAAAAACCGACTTTCTCTAAGCGTCGACATAAATAGTCGACAAATTTATTTCTATGATCTTACAAACTGATTTTTTGAGCTAATGCGAGGTCGAGGTAGAGTCCCATTCGTAACAGCACGACTATAAGGAAACCGAAATCTCCAAAACGTTAGCCATCGACCAACAACACCAATAGCAACGTCAGCAACAACGACAGCAACCACAACGACAACGTAGACCTGTGCCAACCTCGCATCAGCTCAAAAGGATCGGTCTATAAGCAAGGAATCATGTTGTCTTAAATATCTCATTTTCAAAACGGCTCATTTTCGAACTTTAAATGGTGATTTGTGTGTCTTATGTATGGCTCCTCTCCATAGCGTTGTATATATCTCCAGTGATTTATTAGAATGTTCCTTTGTGGTGTCTTCTAAGACATTTTTTCTTGAGAAATGTGGTAGAAGTGTTCAAATAAAAAAACGAGAACTAAAATTTTATTTGCTCATCAGCATTTTATTGATAAGCATGATTACTGACAGTAACCCATACTTTTGCAGAGATTCTCAGCATATGCTTCCGCTGTTTTCAAAAAGTTCTGAAACAGTCACTATTCAAGTATTGTTTCCACAAGCCAAGAGAAAAAAATAAAAAATCCAGCATTGAGATCATAAATCATTCTGAACAAACTTGTAAGAAAAGTGGAGTATTTTCCTCCACGGCCTCTCGACACGCCTTCCGCTGTAAGTCGTCCGGAATTTGGTCACAACCTTGTGAAATCGTATCACTCATTTGTGCCTAAACAAATATGAATTTAAAGAAAACTTATTTATTCCACATCTGCAATGAATCTACGGAGTTTTTTCATCTTATTGAAAATAAAGTCCTGATGGTATGAGAACAATGCTCAAAGAAATCTATTACAATCTCCTATTTTGAAGGATAGTGCGTGCAGCCTGAAATGTTCTCAACGCGAACAAATTTTTTTTAATAAATGCTATTCGCATTTGAATATGTGCCGCTATTCACCCTTCTTTCCCTTTTTTTACTTTTTTACTCTTCTTTACTTTTTTTTTTTTACCTTTTTTGCCTCTATTAAAAGCACCACCCAGTGGCTGGTTTCAGGTTATTGCTGGTAATGCAAACTGCATATATATACATAATATATAAATATATATATACCATACTTTGTTGTGGATACTGTAACTCTGCTTCTTTGTGGTATGTCAAAAAGAGCTAGTAAAAAAATATCATTTCATAGACAATCCAGTTTTCTCACTTTTAATTGAAAAAGACATTAAATTCAGAATAATTGAATAAGCAGTACCATAAGACCGGGATATGAATGGATCTTCTCACTAATGCTAGCGAGCTCTGTTTTGCACATTGAACATGTGATTCCGACTTGAGCGGCATCAGTCAACAACAAGGAGGCAAACGCAAGAAGCAGAACCGCTCTGACAGGCACCATCTGAAATACAACGATAAGAGGAAGATTGGTTGGAGTTGCTATCATCGTCAAACGGAAAATGCGTGCGTTTCCTTTGATTAAAACAGTCTTCGTTACGATATCAAAAACAAATCCAATAAGTGATTTTTTGATGACAACGGTTTACAGTAGCAGTTTTGCAGACGTAGAAGAAAATAAGAAGTGCTCTTGAGATGATTCTAGCAGCTGAATCGTTTAAACTGATATATACATTGATATTTTTGTCGTAGCGAGAATAAACCAGTGCCAATCGACTGCCTCACCTGCATCACCCATTACCTGTCATCCCGTTGATCGTCAAGTGACTCGAGCGGGCGCCAGTGAATCTTCCACATTTTCCTGTCGCGTGCAAGAGTAGCCCAGTGGGTTCTTCTTAATCTAAGAACTATCTAGGCATCATACCTTACTCCTAGGCTTTTCATAAAAAACTCTGATCATCGGGTTGGTGGTCTTTCTGCAGTACGCTTGACATCCCGAGGAATCCAGTCAATAACGGTACTTGTCCGTCGGTTCTTGTTCACACGCGTTACGTGTATGGCCCATCTTATCTTCGACTCCTTGACATGCAGAACGGCATCTTTTATATTTGGTCGTTCACGTAAATCGGAACATCGGATCTTATTCCTTACTTGTGTGGAACTCCTAGCATCGTCCTTTCGACTGCGCGTTCAATAACGCTGAGTGATCTTCCATCTTGCCCGCGCACCGACCAGGTTCCGAACCCATACGTCAAGGCAGGAAGTACAGTTGAGTCGAAAAGATGGGCACGGAGTCGGGTGTTTCTTGTTTTTTTTCACAACGTCTCTTTGATACTCATGAAAGCTCTCCAATCCGCTCGTTTCCTTCTGCTCTGCTCTGGAGCTAAGCCCTTCATCACATTGATTTCCCGACCTAGATAGACATAACTGGAGCATTCGGAGATGTTCGTTCTGTTGAGCGTGAATGGGGCATAAGAAACCAATCCTTTCCTCATAAACATCGTTTTTGTGAGATTTAGTCGAAGACCAATTTTTCCACATTTTTGATCAAATTCGACAAGCATTCGTTCCACATGGCTAATATTTGGTGTTACAGGAACGATGCCATCAGCAAAGTGAAGGCGGTGTAATTGCAGGCGTCTATTTCTACTTCCATATTGTCCCATTCCAGTGCTCGCATAACGCTTATGAGGGTGGGGGTAAATAGCTTTGGCGAAATGGTATCGCCTTACCTAACATATCTTTTAGCGTCGATGTTAATATCATCATAGAATTGTGATATCTTCGTCGAAAAAATTTCATACAGCCCACGAAGAATTTTTATGTATTGAATAGGGCCCTGACGGTCCAGCGCTTCCATAACTGCTTCCGTTCCAACTGAGTCAAAAGCCTTCTTTAACTCGATGAAAGTGAGACAGAGCTGTCTTTTGTATTCCCGCGATACTTCATTAGCTCTAGTTATCGTGTGGATCGGGTCTATCGTACTAAATCCTCTTCGAAACCCTGCTTGCTCACATGACTGTCCTTCATCTAGTGTTCTGTCAATCCTATTTAGGGCGACTCGAGTGAAAAGTTTGTAGACGACAGACAGTAAGCAGATTGGGCGATAGTTGCCGATATCGTATAGGTCACCCTTCTTGAACAATAACACGGTCTTGCTGATCTTTCACTGAGTTGGGACCTTGCATTCAGACAGGTAACGTGTGAAGAGGCGAACCAGTGTGTTTACGAGGACTGGCGGAAGGTTCTTCAGGTGTTCTGGTCTTATCTTGTCCATAACTGGTGCTGCTCGATTCTTCACCGACGAAATGGCATGTCGGATTTCGGAAGAGAAAACCGGTTGTATAACATATCCATCCTCCTTTATTTCACATGAAGGCAGGAAGACGTGGCTGTTGAAGAGACTTGCGTAGTAATCGTGAATGATTTCCTCCGTTTCCTTTCTGAATGCTGTAACTGTTTAGTGTTGAAGTCGGAATGTAATAATCTTGGTTTTGCAATCAACGAACTTCGGTGGGTTTTGCGAATGCGTTTCCTAGCTACTGCAACTTTGACCACAGCTTCTGTGCGTGGATTGTAGCACGTGCGTTTCCACGCTGACGTACTGGCTTGGGTGTTTCTGAGGACAGACGTTTCTTGGTGACCTTCGAGATCCCAGCTTTCGTAGCGCTAACGAATGTTATCAACAACAGTGTTTCCTCAAGATATCATTGAGATTTAAATAATTCACAATTAATGGTATTTTTGGAATTCGTTACATCGGTGAAATAAGATCTCCGATTTTCTATGTGGTACCTTTTTTTGTTATAGAACTGTGTACCGGAAGTCTCCCACCTCAAACGCTGAAAGCGTGGTTTCTGGAATTGTGGGTTGCCACGTAATGTCTTGTTCGTTATGGCAGACTCAGACGGCCGTTTACGCTGGCCGTTCCATTCTAGTTGGTGAGACCCAATCTGATGTTTCTCAAACGTTCTTCTTTGTTTAATTTTAGCGTTAGAATCTCCAATGATGACTTTGAAGTTCCAAGAAACATTTCTTCTCTGGCGTTACAGACGGCATTGAATAGGTGGTGTCGTCTCTTCTCGGCCACCTCAATGACGTTATACCTTATCCTTCTTGCTTGCATGATCAAGTCTTCTATGGAGAACTCAAATTCAAGTGTGCGTGCACTGTAGGTACAGATCGTCACCATAGTCCTTTACGATTTAGGCAGCCTATAATTGCCTTGGGATCCGAGCTTTTTCTTCATACTCCTCCTACACAACGCTGTCGTACCGGAGTCTCTTTCGGGGTCAGGGAACGAGGCTCGTTTACTTTACTATGTTTGGTCTTTGGTACGTACCCACGCATAGCTCGTTGAGCTCTAAGCCTGGGGTTGGGAGTACTCATGGATAGTTTGCTATTCCCTCTCAGAGTGGGCATGGAGCTTACTTGTATGAGACAACTCCTAATCGCCTCACATATACTTCGCTGTCACTTGATTTCAGGCTTTTGGCCGAATTCACTCGCAAAACACAATCCGCATAAGCGAAAAAAAAGCCCAAGCATGCATGCATGAAAAAGCACTCGGAAATACAGAAAGTATGTGCAAAATCCGCGCAGCAAAAAGGAGTCCGTGCTCTGTATGCACCTGCATCTCCGGGAGGCAAAGTCGTTTTGATCCGCGATTAACGCCCTATCCGCCATATGGGGACGTGCTAAGTAGCTTTGCGACTAACCGGCCCAAGATCCCTATGTGAGTGAGATCCGTGTGTGAGATCAGGTGCCTGCCTCAGGTGAGAATATTAGCGGACGGCCATTTCTAGACTTCAGGAAAAGGAATCCTTTCAGCAATTAAATGCCACTGAAATGAATATTGTGCTGGAATTTTTACAACATCTCTTTTAAACGGTTCGTTCATACATTTTGAGGTAGCGACTTAGAACATAATGCTAGACTCTCAAATTTGTGTGGCTGCCAAGTGGGACCACACTTGATTTTATGGCTGTTGCGGACAAGCTGATCTTTAGAAAAAAGAAAATTTCATTGGATGAATCCATTACAGTTGCGAAACAGACTTTGCTCCATAGTCCTAGAGATATGTAAGTTGTGTGTTTCTGTGTTTTCTATATGTTACTCTGATCCACCATATAAAAATTTTGCCGTCAGCATTTGAAAGTGTTTTGAACTCGAGTTGTGTCTATTTTGTTATTTCTCATATCCGCACATTTGATAGCACAACTGGAATCGTTACGATGATTGGAAATGAATTAACAGTCAATTGCCAGTCATTTCACCGGTCAACGAATTCACTCGAGAACAGGTTTTTTGGGGGCAACAAGTTTTCGTAGAGCACAGCTACCATGACATCTGTGCTAGACGAGTAAGACGGATCGATGGGCGCTAAGAAACATTGTGTAATAAAATGAACCATTGAAAGAGTTGGACGCAGCAAATTTTCTCCATTTGGCCTTATGTCCCTCTTCCTCCATACATCGTAGCATAACACTACATCTCTGGCGTAATGTTTCAACATACATTATTAATATTGTTTCAATATAATTAAAATTTATCTCTGCTAACCCAAATCGGAAAAAGTGGAATATAAAAGTGGTTGAGAGACTTGCCCAAGGAATATACTTGAAAACGGAACCACATATAAAGCGAACAAAATGTGCTATTTTCGAAACAACCTAAGGTTTTCTGCAAAAGATGAGAAACTCTTGGGTAAGAAGATATCGTCATGCCAGCGAGAATAAAGCTCTAAGGAATTTAAGATTGGAACGAAGCCAGTTGCCAACAAAAATCTGTAATTAGCAGTATTGGAAGGGCATGAAAGGTAACATTGCTTGACTGAAAAATGTCAGCAAACTGTTCTATCTTTTATGAGAATTTGTGAGGTACTGATAAGATAGAAATGGCGTGCTTTGCAAACGACAATCAATAGAAAAAGATCACCGAAATGTTTTCCTTCTCCCTACTCCGTTGAATTAAATGTGGTCTGCTTAGAAGGTCATCTGTGAGTAGGAACATTTGCATTGTTCCGTTCTAACACTCCACACATAAGATAACGATGGATATTCACAGCTCTTTTCTCTACTCGATTTGCTGACACCGTCTCCAAAACGCGACTGTATCATGACGGTGGATTTCTGGATCAAAATAGGTTCACACAATCGGAAAGCTGTGCTGTAATTAACTAAACTAATGCGTCGTTTTCTTGTTCAGCAGTCGCGAGGTTGTTAAACAGCATCCACTACTTCCATAGAATGACACAATACAACGCAAAAGTAGCTGACATTACGGCAGTGTCGTCTTCTTCAGAGCCTGGAAGGTTATGCTGATATACAACCTACTAAGCCAAACGCTTCAATACCACTTACAATAAGACGAAAAACCCTATGGTAACTACATGATTAACAACTTCTCGAAAACTCACCTCTTTTACGTGACATCCAATGAGGAAGATTAGAACAGCTGATTATAGTCGCACATGGTTGATGACTGCACCATCTCACATCAGAA